GATAAATCACAATTTATTGGTTTAGAACTTTAATCAAACACCTAATGAGCATAGAAGTTCATCCCTAGCATTAGCTAAGAATTTAGCTACTAATGCTCATATTAATTACAAAAGTGTAACTAAGACTAAGGAAATATAATAACATACAAGAAAACTTACCTAGAACCAATTGTAGAGGAGAAAAACGGTTCCTTCTCAAAAGAACTTGAAGAACAATAGCAAGAACAAATACAAAAACTAGGAATTAATCTATGGAATGGAATGTGTTTGTATGATGAATTGAGGGCTTTATATAGGCTAAAGAATGACATCTTTTAGTCTATTCGAGCCCAACAATCAGGTATGGAGCAATATTTGATCAAGAAATGAGGAAGATGGAATTTTCCCATCAAGAATCCTCTTGCACGTTGCTGTGTTTTAGCAGAATCCGACCAACCCGGCGCCGGTTTCAGGCCTAACCGGCGCCGGGTAAGCTACTGGTTTGCGGTTACATGTGCGAAAATCATCAGACCGGTGCCGGTTTCGTGAAATTCCGGAGCCGGTTTTGTCCTGGGATTTTGGGGATGTTCAGCTACGAATTTGGACATGATTCCTTCACAAAAGTTGTAGATAATGAAGTCGTCTATCCACCAGAACTTTAATAACGTGATTTTATTCATCTAATCAAAAGATATGGATAAAACACTGAGAGGTATGCATCCTGAAATCCCACCAGCAATATCTGACTTTATCGGTTGATTGAGTATTGTTCCTTTCCTATTCTGTCCATGATGTCTTCATAAAAATTGTACCCTATTGAGTTACCATTCACGTGAAATTCGAATGGAGTGATTTCGAGTTCTCTACAATACGTTATACTCAAATTGTGGGCAAAACGTCATCCTTTTTGTCCCAAAAGCTGTTCATCACAATGTTTTATGCTCTAGCTCTTATTCTGTAGGTATTTGCCTGATTTCCATTCCTTTCTTCAACAAATACTTATAAATACTTATGTTAAACATAAGTAAATATAACGGCTATCACACATCCTCCAGGTTGGCGGCTTAGGGGCCAAGACTACGTTGGCAAGCCATTCCGGATACTGCACTTCTCTGATATGCTTTATGCTCAACAACATGTTTACTTCCCATTTGACGAACTCTTTCTTGTCCAAAGACATGTATCTTCTCTTTTGCTTCACGGGAGTTGCCTTTGGATCGACGTTCAATTGGTGAACTGCTATGCTTGGATCGATCCCGGGCATCTCCTCAGGTACTCAAGCAAAAATCACCATAAATTCTGTCAGGACCTGGACTATCCTTGCTTTCAGGTCGGTCGGAAGTCCTGCACCAATTTTAATCCGGCATTATGGCCGGGACGGATCGACTCCGACCTCCTCGAGCTCTGAGATGGGCTGAGCTTTGAATTGCCCCTCCTCATATTTGGATAGGTCTTGCTCGATGGCGTTGACCCTTACATCATTCCTCCCATGAGCCTTGCAGGCCCTTACGTAGCAACTTCTCACCATCTTCTGGTCTCCCCTTACCGTGCCTATTTCGGCCGGTGTGTAAAATTTCATGCATAAATGAGCCTGGGAGATAATGGCTCCCAGGTCCTCCAGCAAAGGTCGGCCCATGATGGCCTTGTGCACGCTTGGCAGTTGAACAACAACAAAATCCGCTTCAATCACTCGTACGCATGGCTCTAAACCGAGTTGGATCTTTAGGGTGATCACCCCCTCTAGCTCGATTGTGTCCCCGGTAAAACCTGAGAGGGGTGTTTTTACCGATTTCAGAGCTCCCTTCTCAAGTCCAATCTCTAGGAAAGCATCCATGTACATTATGTTGACTGAGTTGTCGTTGTCCACGAGGACCCTATGAATGATTGCATCCATCACCTCCATCTTGATTACTAGAGCATCCCTGTGAGGTGGGGGACACGGCGGGAGGTCATCATCTGTGAAAACGATCGATTCCCGCTTCTGCTTTTTATCATCAGGAAGTCGGTTGATCTCTCCAATGAATAGTTGGCGACTCCACTTTTTCCTCTCTTCTGTGATGTCTCCTCGCACAGGTCCGCCGTAGATCTAGTTCATATGTGGCGTTTCTACCGGCTTGAATCCTCCCCTTCCTCGTCATCCTCGAACTGGGCTCCGACCTCCCTCTTTTTAGAGGTAGAGGCCGTCTCGTCTCTCCCTTTGTTCGAGGTATTCTTCTTTTGAGGGGTTGTCCCTGCCGACTCTTCTTTACAAACTGATCCAGCTGCCCTTCTCAGACGAGCCTTTCCACATACTTTTTCAGGACGTAACAATCATCAGTTTCATGAGTATCGCTCTTATGGAGTTTGCAATACTTACCTCGAGTGGCCTGGTTGTTAACGACGTTACAACCTTCTGGAATCGTTATCAAACCCTGCTTGGCCGCATAATCCAGGACAATGCTGACTGGATGTGTCAAAGGCGAAAATTCAGACTGGCTGGACAGGGGTCCCTCGGGGACACCTGACTTACTCTTTTCTCAGCCTTCTTCTTCCTCATGGACCCATTCCCCTTGTCCGGGTCATGGATTTCCCTTTCTGAAGTCTTTTTCTTCCCATCTTCAGGTTGGCGCTTTCCAGTCTCCTCTTCTCTCTTTCCCTTCTCGGCTTCTTCCACCTCAGCTTGCGCATTGGCACACAATAAAGCTTCCTCGTGTGAGGTCGGCGGGTTGCGCACAAATTCTTTGTATAATTCGCCTAACCTCAGGTCGTCCACCTTCACCGGTTCGTCCCTCCAACGAGCTAGGAAGTCGATTAAGCTTTCCTGGGATCCCTGTCTGATTCCGAGTACGTTAGCGAAATTCTTCTTGGAGTCCTTGGAGCTAGCGAACCGAGCTACGAATACATGGGTTAATTCCCTGAAGTTCTGGATCCTCCCATTAGGTAAAGAGTCATACCATTCTCGGGCTGGTCCATCCAAGGTTACTGAGAATCCCCTACACTTGATTGCATCGTCATACCCCATCATCACCATGTATGCCACATACCTGGAGATATGATGTTGGGTATTAGTTTTTCCTCGATAGGCCTCAATATTGTATGGCTTGTATCCATGGGGCAGTGGAGCGCCCATGATCTGACGAGTAAACGGCTCGGGAATCCTCACATCATGATTGAGGTTGATCCTGCCGTCCACTTCCCTCCTGAGGTCGTCCATTCTCCTTCTAAGGTCATCGTTTCCATGGCCTGCTCGAGCGCGAGGTGGGGAAAGGCGATCTACACAGACCCACCTGTTGGCGTTGATCTCGTCCCTAAGATCTCCCCCACGCACGTTGTGGTGGTGGGATGAAACGGACGCTGATGATGCCTCCTCTCTTTGTTCAGCCCTGGAGGAGATTCTATCATGCACAGAAATCCTCCACCCACCAATTCGATCCATCGTCGAGGTTCTCGGGGTCTACCTAGAGTGATGGAACCATTGGGACCGGATCGGTGGAGAGTTCCTCCGTTGTTGTTCAAGTCTCTCTTCCTCCCGCTGAGGCACGGATGGAGCCCGACGAGGGGAAGGAAGTCTTGCGTTGTTGTCAGGGATGATACCTTGGAAAGTAGTGGTCAGGGTCTCCACAACCCTCTGGAATGTCGCCAAACTGGTCAAGGCTTGGGCTGGGCCGTCGTTGGGGATGAGATTCCCAGTGCCCGGCGTCTGGAACTGCGGTGGTCGCGCCGCCGTGCGTCCGGAACCTCCAATGCCATGGAGTTGATTTCTCAAGTCACCATGAGCCACTGTGTTATCATTGCGCCTCCGGAAATGGCTTTGCCGTGATCTAGAACCTTCGTCCTCGATCACGACTTGATTGAAACGATCGTCGCCTTGATTGCTACCCATGCAGTTGTGACTGTGTGATCCAACCATTGTTGTTGCAGATCGTTCTCTCAATGAGAGCACCAAATGATGGAGTTTAATCCAACTACGAGAGCTAAATCTACGAGAGCAGATGATAATATGGCAGCGTAAGGCAGTATTCTATTATCCGGAGTTCAGTCCCTTCATAGGAAATTTACATGAAGTATTTATAGACTAAAGGAACTAGTATTCTAGGAGGAAACTGATACAATAAATGCTATTAATCACATATTAGTTCGAATATGACCCTTGTAACGTATTGGCCGTTGTGCATTGATCGTTCCTTTAAGTCCATGTTCCTGACGCTTATTCCTGCCTGCTGCCAGATAGCTATGCACGAATGATAGCCTACCACGTAAGCCCTAGGAATATCCCGACCTCACTAGAACTCCGCCCAGGCTCGAGGTCTGCTGCCCAGCCTGGTCTCGTTGTGGGTTCTTGTTGTGAGTCTGATTCACAGTCAGGCCCAACAACTAATCATACTAATCCCGTTTATGGGCTGATCTCGTTAAGGGCTTGACCCCGTTGAGGGCTTGATCCCGTTATGGGATGAATCCTGTTATGGCTTGATCCCGTTATGGGTTGGATCCCGTTATGAGCTTGATCTTTAATTCCGTAATTAGGCCATGGTTAGAGTCCATGGTACCATTAGTTAGGTTAGGACGACAGGCGATGGTGAAATAAGAAAAAAACTAGAGGGACAGAGTAGGTGTGGATTTAGATGGGAACATTTTTGGAAGCGCACCTCCTGTAAAATCTCATTGCCAAAATACCCTCATCCAAACACTAATATAAATAAATAATGTACTATCGTATATGATAAAAATATACGTGTGTGATTAAACTAGGTTATTTTGGGAATGAGTTTTTAAGAGCCAGAACAATTATGTGGGAGCATATCTCCTCCAAATCTGATTCCAAATTCTCCGCAGAAGTGATTCTGCACTACCCATTACCCATAAAAGTTGTTCTGCTTCTTAGTGCTCCTTGAAGAAGTATATTCAGTTCTGAGAAGATATCCTAATGCCCCCTAAGTTACTATGGGGTAGAGTTATCTTTTCATTGCATATGATCGACCTATTTTTCCAGTAATAGGTCACTGGTCACAATTTAATGATACTTTATCTTTTTAAAATTTCAGAACTTTGGATCAAGAAAAGGTGTTGTTTTTTGTGGAGTCTTTTTTGATCATGGTCCTTATGGACATATGGTTGCAAAAAGAGTGAGGGATTCTCTCCCATTGAAATTAAGTGCACTCTTGGAAGTCAGTACCAAAAGTGATGATGTCCCTATGGACACGAGTCTAAGTACAAAAGAGAGCATAAATTCTGAGAGTGCTTCCTTTTTATATACTGATGAAGTCAAAGTTCATACAAGCAGGGATATGTTTCAGACACTGAAGGAATCCTTTTTGACGTCTTTTAGCATAATGGATCTAGAATTGAAAACTGCGAGTATTGATTCCTTTAGCAGTGGGTCAACTGTTGTGTTAGACCCAGTATACTTAACAAACAACAAACATAAGCAGTGAAGAAGAAGCAGATAGAAAGATATGGAGAAAATCAAACGAATCTGGTATACCGTGTAAACTGGCCGCTGCTCTCCCTGGAGAAGGAGAGCAGCGGCAAACCCTATCTCTCTATCTCGCCTCTACGCCTCTAAAGCCTCTTTTCGATAATTAGGGTTCCCGTAATTTAGCCTCCTTTTATAGGAGAAGTTGGCTAACTTACGGGTTACAAGGAAGCCCCCGGGCTGATACACATTTGTGGCCCATATTACACGTTTAATTGATAACTACACAAATACAAAGATAACTAACTAGATTGAACACCATAAAATATTGTTAGTCCCTGTTTCTGTAACAGCAATGAATAATCGATCTAACAAGGAAGATTAAACATAAATATGAACACAGAATGAATCACCGTAAAACCTTCTTTGATAAACCGTGGAACGTACAGCAGAATGATAAGCGTAAGGCTATGAATAATAAGTACGACGTTCAACCTTTTCCTAAACCTCGGCTCCCTTTTTATAGGCGAGATTTAGGTTAGGCGTACCAGGCTTTTGGCCTGTTTAAATGGGCCTAACACTTGGCCTGATTTCTATCTAATTTATGCACTATTTAAATACAAGGATTAAATATAAAGCTAATCTATGACCAACTTGATTCACAATTAAATATCTCCAACAATCTCCCCCTTTGTGATCAAGTGCCATTCTCTTATTGCTTCTGTGATTTGAAGTAGTGCTTCCTCAAACCAAGTGCATGTTCATACTGCCTCAGCACATTTCTCTTTTCGAGGCGATCATCAATGGCCTTTAAAATTGTCTCTACAGTAGAGTGTTCCTTTTGAACATAAGACGATGCCTCTTGAAGATTTTCCTCTAGTTTTGCCTTCATCTGTAGAATCTGCTCTCTGATTATCTTCAGTGTTCCGTCACAGTACTTCTCGATTTCACTGACTACCATCAGACGCTTTTCGTTCTTGTGGTTCAGATAGGTGACTGCTGGCGGTGTGAAGAAGATGTGGTAGGCTGGGAAATCTTCAAGTTCTGGACCATACAGTCTTGGCTTTGTCAGATTTGTCTTCTTCAGATTGCATTCAATAGCCATCTGTAGGTCATGTGAAGAGTGTACTCGGATCTGTCTAAGCATGAATGTCTTGATAGCTGCGAGGCCTTCGCTGTATACTATGCTCTGCCTGACTGGAAGGTATCTGTAGGCCATGAGCATTTGGTAGATGTCATCCGGTTTCAGCATGATGAAGTCGTTCTCTTGACAGGTGAATTCGCTCCCATCGGTGCGTTGAAGTTTGTAAGTGTAGAATGTTACTCCATGATAGTCTTCAGCCTTCACTTGTAGAATTTGATGAATCGGGAGAATATTCGACTTCAGATCTTGTTCCATTAGTTCTCTCTGTGTACCGGTTGACCTTTGCAGCAACATATGCAGATGACCTCCAGCCTGCTTTCCTTTCAAGTGAGTAAGGCCTCTTAGCTTCAGTTCGTTCAGTGGCTTGACTTTGTCTGGTCTACGCCAGATATGCTCTCTGATTTCTTCTTGGAAGGGGGCTTTGATACGAATATTATCCCAGGATTTCTCTGTCTTGGGAAGTCTTCCCGCTGTTTGTCTTACGACTGATTCAAGAGTCTTCTGGGATTCCTTATAATTCTCTCCTTCCTTGCGTTCATCGTCCTCGAGCCGTATAATATCTTCAGAGCATTTGTTGATCAGCTCTCGTAGCCACCAGTTTCTTTGCATGTCCTCTTGCTCGGCTTCAACCCGAAGATCATCCCATTCTGTCCATTTTCTTGGCCATTTGTCGTATATCACCGCCTCCTCCAATGCATCATGGATGTCTTTGCCTGGGGGGATGTATGGAACTCTTTGCTGCTTTTGAGGCGGTGATTGTTCCTTGGTAGCACTACCGGGTTCACTTGGATTGCCCGTTGACATCAGCTTAGAACTAGGTTCCAACTGATGGCCTGATGTGAAGGATGTACCAGTGATAGCATCATCAGGACTTCCATCCCCTCCTCGAACAGTATCTCTGGGAGATACGCCTCGGGATGTTTTGTCTAGCTCGACCACGCTAGAGAGATAGGCTTGGTTTTGGCAAGGGGAGGGTGGTGGTTGGTTGATGAAAGTCTCAGGTTGTTCGGTTTGGGGGCTATGAGTGGTAGAGGCACCTTGCTCGAGTATCCGTGGCCTCTTGTTCTCCCCCTCATGAGGTTCCGGATCATCGGGATCCTCATGTGAACGTTTGCGACCACGGGGGCTTTCACGGCAGGTGCCCTTGGTGTCCGGATTAGCGAGAAGGGCAGTAAGGACGCCTTGCTGGTAGGGAGTGAGGTCAGTGTGGGGTATGTTTAGGAGATGATCCAGCAAGATCGATGCCAGGACTTCGAAGGGTTGGGATAGTAGTTCGATGGGAGGTGTGGTCGGGTGTGGGGATGATACTTGTTCTGTATCATGGGTTCCCCGAGAAGAGATAGGGCTATGGACTTTGGTGGAGGTGGCGGAGATGACTGGAGAGGTTTGAGATTTGGAGTGAGAAGGTGATGGGTGTGGTTCAGGCTGGCTGTGTTCACTATGCACTGCCGGGGTGGTCTTGGATTCTTGTGCCCAAGCGGTAAATGCTTGTTGCACCCATGGCTTAATGGTGGAATCCAAGAAACGGTGCATAAGAACGGTGACGTCTTCGGTAGTGAGGTGTTCAGTTACAGGGGTTGTAACTGTTGTCACAGCATCAGTGAAGAGAGCTGATGTGTGGCCTGCATTCAATGATGGAGTCATTGTGGGCGTAGCAGGGCTTCCGACCGTCATCGTTGGTACTCTGGTCGTTGCTTCCAGGGTGCGTGCACCTGTATGTGCGGTGAATAGTGTAGGTGTCCTAGAAAAATTAGAAAATGTAGGGAGTGTGACACCTAGACTCGATGTGCTCAAGGAAGTGGTGGTGACCTCGGGCTATTGGCCACTAATTCGCTCGACTGGTTCGGAGGGAACCAGAGAGATGGGTGAGTCCCGCTGTTTTGAAACAATAGCCTGTTGGGAGGCTATCGAGTGGCTGGGAGAAGGCTGTGCTTGCGCAGTTGAGCCAGATGCTGCGACTTCTACCCGGGAACCGAAAAGATCGGCTCCTGCACTTAAAGATTCAGCTCGGCTTATATTAATGAAGGGTTGACAATCGGCGAAGATATGCATTTCGTCCTCGTCAACAAGGTGTCTTTTGACGAGGCGTCGCTTCTTGGAGTTGAGTGACTGTGGAGCATCATTTTTCGCTTTGATGCGCTGCTCCCTGACGATGCCGGTAGCACTTGCTATATTGTGACTGGCCGCCGTGGTTTTGATGACGAGCTCTTTGGGGCGTGTAGCAATAATGGGGGCTGCATCCTCAGCGGTGATTTTCTTCGGAGGAGATTCAATAGGCAGCTTACCCTTTTGGATGAGAGCAAAAGTGTGGTCCACATCGTCAACATCATCGTCATTATCATCATTATCGTTGTCACTTCTGGCCACGCTATCGGAAGCCTCGTCGTCAGCCTCTTTGTGGGCCGAGCTGAGCGAGTCATCAGCAGATTCCTCAGCGTTCGTCGGTTTGCCCTCAGTTGTCTGAGTCCTCTCGAGAGATTCATCGGACTCTCCTTCATCGGGCCGACGTGCCACTGGCTTCTGTGGCTTTGGGGCGCTCTTGGGACCCTTACTTACTCTCAGTTTAGTCCCCTGGGTAGGTCCAGATGGGTTTTGCTGAACCATAGGGACTGTTCTCTCAAGGTTTTCCTTGTATGCGACGATGATTGGATTTGACTGATTTTCCAGGTTGAGCAGAGCATCCGGAATCCGCAGGCCCTGAGCTGCTTTCTTATCAGCTTTGAAGTATTGGAGCTTTGGAGCTATGAAGTGTGGATCATCAGTACGTCTGGGAATGGATGTGTTTGCGGTCATGCAGTCATGGATGATCAGCCCCAACCACCTGGCGTATGGAATGGTGCCTGACCTGTTTTTCTCTTTGGCTTTTACCAGGTCCATTAGCTCTGAGAAGAAGAGCTGAGCCATGTCATACTTTTTGTTATATGCGATGCCGTGGAAGACGCAGAGTATTTGCTTGTTGCATTTGTCCAGTCCGACATGCTTTGGAGAGAGGCACTTGTTGACTAGCCCGAATAGGCTCTTCCAGGGACGATAAAGGTATGCTCCATTGAAGTTCGACAGTTTTGGTAGTAGAGAGTCATAACCCAAAGCCGCGACATCTTTGAGAAGATCCTGAATAGAAGGAAGAAGATCGTAGCTGTCATGTTCGGGGAGCGCCAGTGTAGAGCGTAGGGTTGCTGGAGTCAGGACAATCCTCATGTTGTTGAGCTTTGTGAGGATTTTGGTGCGGTCTTTTGTTGACTCGGTACGCATATGTCCCCATACTTGTTGGAGGTAGATTTCTGGCACCGATTTTGATTTGTGGAAGGCGGTCCAGAGATAGTGGCGCTTCAGAATCCCGGGGATGACTGGATCGTGACACTTGAAGACAGTCAGATCCAGCTGAAAGTTGTTGTCCAGCACCTTGACCCACCTATCTTGTGGGTAGATGGCGTCGTCAATGTTATGTCTCTTTTGTGTACCTGCCATAATGAGCTGTGGAAAACATGGGTCAGTGCAAAAGTCCATTTTTATTTTTGGTTTCCTGAAATTAGATGAACTGTTGTTTGGTTTGGTTTTGAAAAGTGGAGTGCAGGTGGTGGTCAAAATCGGCTAAGGCAAAAGCTCGAAAACCGTATCTCGAGGTTTAAATCTCGAGATCTCAATCTCGAGGTTTAAATCTCGAGATCTCAATCTCGAAATTTAAAACGCGAGATCTCAATCTCGAGTTTGAAATCTCGAGATCTCAATCTCGAGTTTTAAATCTCGAGATCTCAATCTCGAGTTTTAAGTCTCGAGATCTCAATCTCGAGTTTTAAATCTCGAGATCTCAATCTCGAGTTTTAAGTCTCGA